AATTCGTTGCATCGTATCAACATCAATATTCAAATACTCCGACGTTGGGACACTTGGCGCTGTCGTGCCATCTTCAAGCATGATTCGGCCCGGCTTGGCTTCGTAAAATACCGCTGTATGACTGTAAAATGCCTTGTTCGTCTTGCTATCTAGCAAGCGATATCCTCTCTGTTCTCGAGAGTAGCCAACAAATACAGCTTCTTTCGCTCTTGCATCCATCTTTTTGCGATCAACTTTGTCAACATAAGCTAAAACAGCGCAACCAAATATACGAAGCCTCGTATAAGCCGGTGTCTCTCTAAACCAAATTGCATACGGAATTTCCATTCTTCTTGTTGTGTTCGGAACTGTGTTCACGCTGTATGCAGCGGTGACAGTAGCCTCGGCCCATAGCTGTAGTGGTAATCCGAAATGCGCCAGCAAGCACCTCATTCTTTCAGTGATTGTGCGTATCATTCGCTCTGCGACTCCATTTTGCTCCGGAGTGTGCTTCACAGTCAACGAAGTATCCATTCCGTAGTTAACTTTGCACCTATCTCCAAGAGCTTTTAGCTCGCGAGCATTGTCAAACCGCATCTCCTTCATTCGCACTTTCAATTGCGTCTTCACTCTTGCATAATAGAGCTCCAACTTCTCGTAGACGTCAGACCTCTCTTTCATCAAGAACAGAGTTGAGAACCTACTGGCATCATCTACGAAGAGCACAAAGTACCGATTACCAGAGTACGACTCGACTGGATATGGTCCCCAAACATCTATGTGTACACGTTCACCAACTAACCATTCACGATTACTTTGAACCGAGTGAAAATTCTTCCTTGTCATTTTCCCTTTCACACACGACTCGCAATTGAATGTTGTATCGACTCGTAAATCCGTGTCTGGCAGCGGCCAATCTGTATGTCGGAATAATGCATTGAACACGCTTCTTCCTGGATGTCCTAGACGCGAATGCCATAATTTCACATCTTGCTTACCATTCACAGCAACTAACATCGCTGAATCAACGGGACTCTCCAGTTCCAAACATTATAGATTGGTCTTATCAACATGTGCGTATGTATTCCCTTCTTGAAACTTCACTTTTGCAACGTTGTCGTCGTCAAAATGGATTCTGACCTTCTCTTCAGCAGGCAGGTTTCGTGATGTTTGTCGTCGTACCGAAAGCAAACTGCATTGAAGTTCAGGTACATACCTCACATCTCGCAGTATTAATGTTCGTCGACCATAAGAAGTTTGTATCTCCTTCTTCACATCTCCTACTCCGGCCACACTCAACCAATTCTTTCCACCAACGCGCACCATGCACTCATACCCGAAAACGATACAAAGTCAAGCTTCTGATTGGTAAGGTGGCTTGTAGCACCAGAGTCCAAGTACCATCGCTTTCTGGCAAAGTTTAACACATCTTGTGGCTGGTTTGCGAGAGCGCTAATAACGTATGCTGCATCATCACTCTCATCATTTTCATAAAGTCCTTTAGATGCTGCTCGCTTTCGCTGCGCACCTTGTGTTCTTGCTTGTTTCTGGGGTGGCTCACTTCCTTGCGTATCAATCGGTGGTCGTTTTCCGAGATGAGGGCAGTCACGGACTTGATGCCCGGTACCTCCACAGTGAAAACAAGTTCGTCCGGTGGGAGTTTGCTCACCACGTCCACGCCCAGGCCCTTGTCTTCCTCGTCCGGTGCCACGGCCTCGTCCTCGACCACCATTGCGACTTCCACGGCCGCGTTCAGAGCCTCGGCCACGGCCACGTCCACGGCCTCGACCTCGGCCTCGACCGCTATTATATCCACCACCATACAGTGCTTGATCTTCACCGGTTGCATCCAACTTCCTTCCTTGGCGCCGATCGTATGCCAATTCAAGCGCATGCTCTAATTGTTCGTAGTTGGGTGCATCATTGACATCGCGAGGCACGTGACTTGCCAGAAAAGTTTCAACCACGTTATCATAAGTATCTGGCAAAGTGCCGATCAGAATCGCGGGTTTTTCATATTCATCAAGAGGTTTACCCAACAGAGCAATTCGATCCATTAGTCGTCGAACTTCTCCTAAATG